CGGCGAGTCCTCGGGCGCGTCCGTCCCGCCGCTTGGCTGAGCCGCGCAGGAACCGAGCGCCGCGCGCCGCCGCCGCGGATCCGCTGCCTGACGCGCCCTGACGCACCGGAGCTCCCAGCCAGGACCCCCGCGCGCCGCCCCGCTAAGTCATTGGTCGCCGCGCCGAAATAATCTCGTTCTCTCAGTCCCCTGTCCGCTGGCGAGCCAGGTAATGAGCCGAGAGCGCGGACTCCCTGGGCGGAACTTCTGGGCAGCGTGCCGGCCGCGCCCCCAGCGCTGGGGCCCCGCCAGCGGGCTGTACAGCCCAGTCCCAGCAACTTTTTTTTTTTTTTTTTTTAAAGGGAAAAAAAATATATGCTAATACCTGCCTGTCTTTCGGTTCATCCGCGCGCACGGGCGGAGTGTCCCGGGATGGCACGGCTGCCCTGCGCGCCTGCCCTGCGCTCGCCCGCGCCCCGCAGCCGGAGGTGCAACCAGAAAGTTTTCCCGTTGAGCATTCAACTCTTCGTCCTGGGGCGCCAGCAGTGCCCCCGACCCTCCACGCAGACCTTCACTAACAGCATTTTAAACCAGAAACGTTTGTAACCTTGAAAGCGCAGAGAATCCTCTCTTGGCTCAAATTGAAACTTAAAAATCCTCTGAGCAACGATTTAACTATTCAAGCAACGGAAGAAAAAACGCATGTTGAAACTGCATTAACCTGTCATGGGCGTACAAACAAATTTCCACGCTGAAGTATAAATTATAGTCTAGCAGCAAGATAAACACATTAAAATGGACTCCAACAATTTTAATAATACTAAGTCACGTTTCCAATTAGGCAGCATCTTATACTTCTGACAAAATTTACAAATAAGAAAATGATATGGAATCCTATTAGGGTGCTGTGCAATTCTGGAAGTTTTCCTTTCTTATATATAGTCTCAAGCAGATGTACAATTTATCTTTGAGTTCTTCCTTGTTTTCATTCCCCCCTTTTATTTTTTTAAAACGTAAAAGCATATAGAAAAGTAAACAATAATTTCTAAAAATAGTTGTATCTTGATTTTTTATGTACACAAGCTTTCCTTTTATGTTACTGAATTATGTGCATTTTGTTGTAATTCTTCGGTGTTTTTATTTATTGTTTATTTTGAAAATGTAAAAATACTTATCACTAAGAATGATATGCACTTATGTACATACTGTCAAAATCAGTCTAATGTGACCACTGCCATAAATGCTTCAGACTTTTAAAAATCCATCAAAATTAAGTATTTAATATAGAACTGAATATCAATTTCTCATTCCAGTTTCACTTACTTTCTCCCCTATTTACTTCCTCAGGGAATCAGTATTGTAAAGTATATATTCTAGCATTATTGTGTATTTCATATTTGTTATACATATATAAATATCCATGATTACGTATTTTAAATTTCCTTTAATGATAAAATAATGTACATATCATTTTGAAGCTTGCTTCCTTCCCCCAAAATGATTTTGAGAACTATTCATGTTGATACCTACAGAATTAATTTATTCATTATGGCAGTCTTAAAATGTTATCAGCTCTTTTATTTTTAAGATTCTTCCATTTTAAAAATAGATTTTTTATTATAAAATTCTTCATCTCAAAATTTTAAACCACCAACTTGCAATTAATCCACACAGTCAGAGAAAAAGCTTAGAGCTAGAATTCTTCACTAACTGCTTTTCATTTTATTGTAGAAGAAAAAAAGGAAGATATTAAAAACACAAAAAAAAGTATTACAAATGTCCCTGTATCTAGTTCACTTCATCAATAAATGGTAACATATTGTCATATTTGCTTCAAATCTATTTTAACAATTTCAGTCTCCAACATTTCTTGTAAGATTAAGGTTTCCTTTTGTATGCCTCTTCAATAATATTCTCTATCACACACATACCCCACCCACCCCCGACAAACTTATCATGATTTCAGTCTATTACTTTTGAGCCTAGGCTTATACTTTCACTATATCTTGATTCATAAAGTGGACTGCCACTGCCCTGTATGATTCTGAAAAGTGTGCACATGTGGTATTAGAATGCACATGCCATTCTGCAGCTTCCTTTTATTTTCCCACACAGTATGTTTTCATTTTTTCTCTCCATGTTGATAAACATAGATCGAGGTCATGCATTTTAATTATTATATCATAGATTCATGCATACTATTGTGCCGTGTTTCTCCAGTCCCTGTTGGCGAACATTTAAGCTGGCTGCCAATTTTTTGGTATTGCAGTAATGCTAATAGGAACCCATGTGTCTGTGTCCCCCTGCCCCCCTTGCACATATGTGAGACATTCTCTGTGCATGTACCTAGTTGGGGAATTGCTAGGCTGCACACACATTTCCAGTTTAACTAGAGAGTGCCAGATTGTTCTCCAATTTACAAACCCATTAGCAGTGTGTAAGGGTCCTTATTTGCTTCCCATGACCTTCAGTACTTTGTAGAGGCAGACTTTTCTTATTCTGCCTGTTTGATTTTTTCTAAAACTCCAGTATCTGATTGTTTTATTTGAATTTCCCTCACTGTCAGTGAGGTTGAGCATGTCTTCATGTATTTATTAACTGTTGAAGTTCCCTGGTCTGTGATTTGCTTTTTTCATAATCATTGCCCATTTTCCCAATGAGCTGTGTGTAATTTTTTTTCTTCTTGATTTGTATATGTTCCATGCATATAAACATTAAATCTATTTCTCAGTCTGTGCCTCCTGTTTTGGTTTTGAGTGTCTTTTGTACTAGAGAAAATTGTAAATGTAGTCACATCCGTATTCCTATTCATTCTTTATCATTTATATAATTTGTGCCTTATTAGAGAAATCTTTCTATTTCTGGTATGATGACGATTATCTCCTTTGAGGGCTCAGACCGCCTGTCTTAATGTGTTCAAGTTTTGCTTTTCCACATTTGTGAAGCTGACCTATCCAGGCCTTTGTTTTTGAGTGGTGTAAACTAGGGACCTAATTGTCCTCGCCACAGTGGTGGACTGCAGCTGTTCTGATGGGATGTGCTGACCCGTCCTTCATCTCCCTATTGATGGGCCACCATGATTGAAAAGTAAATTTCCATATATTCGTGGATATGTTTCGAATTCATCCTTTCCTACTCATCAAACCAGTTCTGAGCACATACCACACTTTCAGTTAATGTGGTGTTTTAGTAAGTTTTGAAATCTGGAAGGACACATCCCAGCTTTGTTCATCTTTAAAATTGTACTGATTATTTTGGGACTTCTACTCTTGTGGGAGCTTTGGTGACCTAGTGCTAAGAAGCTGTGTTGCAATTCCGAAGGCTCATGATCCGAATCCACCAGGTGCTCCGTGGGAGGAGGGTGGGAAATCTCCCGTAATTTACTGCCTCTGCAAACCTGTCGGAGGGTCAACTGGGGGTTGTTTCTGACTCGACAGCACACAACAACAACTCTTGTATACTAACCTTAACACACATAAGGTTTGTCATGTCGTATTCACAGAATTTTAGGATTTTGCTGAGTTAGATGTACTGGTTAAATTTTGAGAGAGATAACATCTTTCAGGAGCACTGGTGGTATAATCATTAGGCACTTGGCTGCTAACCAAAAGTCTGATAGTTCAAATCCACCTGGCTGGTGTACCAGAAAAAGATCTGGTCTCTCTTTATAATCTGTTTCCATAAAGATGAAAATAAAGCTATAGCTTCCATTAAGAGTACAGCCCTCAAAAACGCGATGGGTTTGGTGTGAGTTAGAATCAACACAACATAACCAACAACATCTATATACATTTATATTACTATGGTTTTTTAAAAAAAATAGCTTTCCCTTTATCACTGTGAGTATAAAAGTCTTAATCATCACTCATGTGTTTTTTCATAGATAATTTACAATTTTTGTTGTCATTATAAATAGGAATCTTCACTTATTAGAATTTTAATTGGTTGTTAGCTTGGAAATACTTATGGTTGTGGAATACAGATTGTGTTTTAACAAACTTGTTAAACTTTCTTAATAATTCATTTGCAGATTTTTTGTCATCTGCATTTAGATAGTCACATCTAGGATTTCCATAGAACATCAAATATAAGAGTCAGAATAAGCTTTGTTTTCCTATTTCTAACTCAGTGAAATGTTTTTAATGTGTAATCTTTATAGACAATATTTATTCTGTTTTTAGTAGAAACTCTTTACTAGATAGAGGTAGTTTTTTCTACTCTAATTGTGCTTAAAATGAAAATATTTTAAAATCTTGTAATGCATATTAAATTTTACTAAACATTTTATTACAGTTCTTGAGACCATTATATGGTTTTTTCTTTGACATATTAATATAAATGAGTTCCATTGATAGTTATTTAATACACTGTCACATGTACTCTGAATGGTTCATCGTTTTAGCATATATGTGTATAAGTAGTTTAAGTAGTTTTGTTTCCTTGTAGTGCACTTGTTGAAGCTTGATTTGAAAGGTTGTTGTTGTTCAGGTGTTATTTAGTCACCTGCAACTCATAGAGACCCTATGTACAACAGGTCTGAAGCCTGCCCTATCCTAAGCCAGTCTCACTGACTCGAATATTACCCCATGTACTGTATCAGTGCATCTCATCTGGGGGCTTCCTCTCCTGTGCTGTCCCTCCACCCTTCTGAGCATGATGCCCTTCTCCAAGGACTGGTCTCTCCTGGCCTCATGCCCAAAGTATGTGAGACAGAGCTTCAAAAATCCTAGCCTCCAGGGAGAAACTTGGTTTCACCCTCTCCAAGACAACTGTCATAAAATGCATTTGGAATTTCCCAACTTACTCTATTTTCTGTAACAGTTTGTGTGAGGTATGTTTATCTGTTTCTTGAATGTTTAGAATAACTCACTTTTGAAGCCATGATACTTAGAAAATTCAACT